ATATATGTGTATATATATATATATATATATACATATATATATATATATATATATAGTTAAAGTTTACATACTGTATGATTGCATTTATGTAACATTGAAATAACAAGACTGCAGAGATGGAGAACAGATTTAGTGGTTACTAGGAGCTCGGAATGGGAGGTGAGGGGTGGTGTGGTTGTAAAGTGGTAGCATGAGGGCGCTGTGTAGGGATGGAACAGTTCTCTATCTCAGGTGTGATTATACAAAGCTACAAATGTGATAAAATTTCACCCAACCACACACACACACATGCTACATACAAATCCTAGCATTCTCAAGTCCCATTTTGCATACAAAACTGTTGAAACCTGAATAAACTTGGGACTGTATCAAGGTCAGTTTCCTGATGGTGACGGTGTACTAGAGCCACATAAGTTATAACATTGGAGGACTTTATGCAAGCGTACTTTGGGTCTCCCTGTGTACCTTTTTTTTGCAAATTCCTGTGGTTCATAATTATAGTACTTTTAACATAAACAGTTGGTCAGGCATTGTGGCTCACACGTGTAACTGCAGCACTTTGGGAGGCTGAGGCAGGTGGACATCCTGAGGTCAGGAGACCAGCCTGGGCAGCATGGTGAAACCCCGTCTCTGCCAAAAATGCAAAAATTAGCTGGGCATGGTGGGGTGTGCTCCTGTAGTCTCAGCCACCTGGGAGGCTGAGGCATGAAAATTGCTTTGAACCTGGGATGCAGAGGTTGCAGTGAGCTGAGATCACACCACTGCACTCCAGCCTGAGCAACAGAGCAAAACTCTGTTGCAAAATATAAAGCAAAAAACAAAAAACAAAAAAACAAAAATAACCCTACAAACAAAAAGAGCAATGCATTTAGAGTACTTGAGAGAAAGTAAGCAAGAGGAAGAAAATGTAAATTGTCTATAATATTCATACCCAAGACAACAATCCTTGGAATAGTTTCTCACTGTGTGTATAGACTTGAAACTTTTTAAATACCATTTTATGTTTTAGGCTGGGTGCGGTGGCTTATGCCTGTAATTCCAGCAGTTTGGGAGACAACGGTGGGTGGATCACAGGTCAAGAGATTGAGACTATGCTGGTCAACTTGGTGAAATCCCTTCTCTATTAGCAATACAAAAATTAGCTGGGTGTGGTGGCATGTACCTATACTCCCAGCTACTACTAAGGAGGCTGAGGCAGGAGAATCGCTTGAACCCAAGAGGTGGAGGTTGCATTGAGCCAAGGTCATGCCACTGCACTGCAGCCTGGGCGACAGAGCAAGATTCTGTCTCGCAGGGGGTGGGGTTATTTTTTAATTAAAAATTTTTTTTCTTTTTCTCCTCAGAAAGGATAAAAATGTTATTGATTAGTAAGGCTGTAGTTTTATGTTGATATTTTGAAATTTTTAGGGTGGTGCTTGTTTGCTCCTGTAACATTATATAAGCACATTCAGTACTGTCAGAAGTAATTGCATTATGCAGTAACGTGACTGCCTCATGCATATATCTGCATTAGTACATATTGTAAAGTTTTATTTTTTACCAAAAAGCTTACAGCTACCAAGTATTCACATTCCTTAACATTATTACAGAATTAATTTAGAAATTTTCTACTTTTAAAACTTATAGATAGGTGTAATTAAATTCTTAGAGAGCATTAATGTACTATTTTTAAAACACACAGAAAACATTCTTTATCATTTGCAAAACATGCTTCATCATCTACTCATCTTTGTGAATCAGGTTTTACTTGATACCATGCAATCAAAACAAATTTGATATAAGACTGCCTAATTATCCATGATTTAAAGTTTGTGTTCATCGGAAGAACTGTATTGTTCTCATTATACACGTTCTACGTTAGGGTTTTTTTGTTTGTTTGTTTGTTTGAGACGGAGTCTCACTCTGTCACCCAGGCTAGAATGCAGTGGCACAATCTCAGTTCACTGCAACCTCCTCCAAGCTTCAAGCGATTCTCCTGCCTCAGCCTCCTGAGTAGGTGGGACTACAGGCATGTGTCACCATGCCTGTCTAATTGTGTGTGTATATTTTTAGTAGAGATATGGTTTCACCATGTTTTTCAGGCTGGTCTCGAACTCTTGACCTCAAATGATTCTCCCACCTCAGCCTCCCAAAGTGCTGTGATTACAGGCATGGGCCACCATACGCAGCCCCATTTGAGCTTTAAAATATACTGATATAATAAAATACTGCTTTAATCTGTTTCTTATGTTATAGATCCACATGAAATTCATTTAGAAAAATGTTCCTGTACTAAAATATTTAAAGCGATTGGATTATGATTTATAAGTTTTATTTTGTAGTTAGCATCTCTAGGGGAATTTCAGGGACACTGTTGCTGTCTTGTGATTATTGATCCTTTTAAAAATCATTGTATTTGAGAAATAAAGTAGTAGAAAATCTATGACACAATAGGGAATTAAAGTAGACAGCACACTCAGCTGCACTGTGTTTAAATATTTTAATGACTTTCTGTACATTGTGCTAGTGGTTAAGATCTGAGACTCTAGAGTCAACCCGAGTTGAAGTCTTGGCTCCATCACTTTATCTCTTGTCCATTTCTTCCTCCATAGAATGAGAGTCATAATAGTGTTAACTCATAAGATTATTGTGAATATGAAGTGCACTAGTAGTACATGTAAACAGTCCTGGTCCCTGGCATAAATACACTCATAAAATATAGTTATTATTATTTTAGAACATGGTTGAGATCTACTTTATGTTTAATATGTCTTTTCCTCACTTAACATATCGTGGCTGGGCACAGTGGCCATCATCCCAGCACTTTGGGTGGCTGAGGTGGGTGGATCATCTGAAGTCAGGAGTTTGAGACCACCCTGGCCAACATAGAGAAACCTCATCTCTACTAAAAATACAAAAATTAATTCCTGTGAAATGGGGAGTGAAGAAGCCTCTGTGGAGGGTGGTCAGAGGAGTCAGTGAGTCAGCGTGTGGAAGCATTCAGCATTGCGCCAGATACGTGGCAGGAACGCTGGATGCACCACTCCCAACCCTGCGTTACCTGGCTGTGAGGCGATATAGGTCCAGCAGGGGTTTGCAGAGCCTCTTCTGTGCCCGTGAGAATGTGGCCTCAGCCCAGGACAGCAACTGGTGGGCCACCTGGAGAGGGAGGGGACACTGAGAGCTGTCTCAGTCGTCCTGAACTGCCAGGCATGACCTATCCTTGCTCTCACTTACCAGCTCCAGGGTGACTTTCATGGCCCCCAGGGCTGTCCTGATGGGCCTGGGACCCTCGTTGCCTGGCATCCGGGGTTCCCAGGCCTGCAGCCACTATATGGCTTCCTCTGCCCGCTCCCGCCACACCTCCTCCAGGGGCTGCAGCATCACCTCCAGGTAGCCATCCTTCATTGTGGTCAGGGGCCTTTCAATGGGCCGCCATCACCCACTATGAGGCCTCTGGGCAGTTCAGAGGCCCAGCCCAGTCCTCGAGGAGATATAGGGTCTGTTCCTGGGATTAAGATGGTGGGGGAGTGGGGGAAAAGAAACAGAACAGCAGGCACTGGAGATTGCAGGCAAGGTGTCACAGCAGACCCGAGCTGCCTCTGCATGGCCTGCTCACAGGTTGTCTGGGAACTTGGATTGGGGGAGGGTTCCCACCAATCCTAAAAGTGATACAAGGCTCTCTGCACCTGTTTGTACAAACGTGGTTTATGCTGAACCCCTGCTTGCCTCCTAGGAGTCTGACAGTGTGCTCTGAGCCAAGCAGCACCTGCCAATGTGGAAACCCCACTAAACACCCTGGGTGACATAGTGCTGGGACAGCCAAGTGCATCCCGTGTGAAGGTGCAGGGACTGGAAGAGGACACTGGGTGCTGGCCCTGGTTCCCTAGACTCTGCCCTGGCCCCCTTCCCTGCCCCGACACTACTACCTCCTCTCACTGTAGTCAATGACAGCCACGAACAGCAATCTTCCAAATTCACTGTCCTGTGGGTGGCCATGGGACTCTGGCACAGCAGAGAAGATATGGAGGTGACATTCAACAGCCAATGAGATGGATGCCCACCCTGGCGTTGGGCAGGGTGTTAGCCCAGGATGGTGGAGAGGCCAGAAGTTCCTAGTCCTGCCAGGAGGGCAGTAGAGGCAGTCACTGTGAGCATTTAACAACAATACAGCCACAAAGAACTCATTGTGGAACCACAAAGAGACCCTGTGGCAGTGAGCTTCACAGAAACAAGGCTGTACACTCAAAAGAAAGCAGGTGGAGGACTGAAGAAACTGAGGCAGAAGGTATAAGGGATATTAGCTTGGAGACCTTGTAGGAATGAGACAGCAGCCCACAAAAAAAGAACGTTAGGTCAGGCGCGGTGGCTCACACTTGTAATCCCAGCACTTTGGGAGGCTGAGGCCAATGGATCATGAGGTCAAGAGATCAAGACCATCCAGGCCAAATGGCGAAACCTCATCTCTACTAAAAATACAAAAATGAGCCAGGCATTATGCATGCCTGTAATCTCAGCTACCTGGTGGGCTGAGGCAAGAGAATCGCTTGAATATGGGAGGCAAACGTTGCAGTAAGCCTAGATCGTGCCACTGTGCTCCAGCCTGGTGACACAGCAAGGATCCATCTCAGAAAAAAAAAGAAACCACCACCATTTGCAGGACTGGATATGAAAAGGAATAAAAATGTACAAAGTTAAATGCATGCTGTAGAAGAACCACCACCTGTTCAGCTGCTGAGCACGCCATCATTCCTAACTCAGCAAAAGAACCCCCACTCCGGGAAAAACTAAAAGCGAACTGCTGGTTCCAAAATGCATTTTTGTGGTTGGAGATCTGTGTTTCCCAAGCCCTCCTTCCAGTCCCTGGCACTGTGACAAGCATTTCTCACCCCTGGGGACGTGGGGCTGGAGATACAAAAGGGAAAGTCACCAAGGTTGAGTTTTAGCTGTCTGCATCCTTGCAGCCAGGGCCAGAGGGCCATGAGGGGTTTCCTAGCTCCCGCCGTCCACACTGGACTCACAGGGCATGACTCTGCTGCAGTGGCCGGGCTTACCTCCATGAAGTGATTGCTCAGGGAGGGCCCCGAGTCATTCTTGAAGGTCTGGCTGACACGGAGATGCCTCTTGTTGCTGCTCTCATCCCAGTGCTTCCCATAGCTCGCCTCCAGTTCAAGTGATTCTCCTGCCTCCAGAGAAGCTGGGATTACAAGCACCTACCACTACACCTGGCTAATTTTTGTATTTTTAGTAGAGATGGGGTTTCACCATGTTGGGCAGGCTGGTCTTGAACTCCTGACCTCACGATCCACCCTCCTCAGCCTCCCAAAATGCTGGAATTACAAGCGTGAGCCACTGCATCTGGCCTTGCTTTTTTTTTTTTTTTTT